AAATCCCAAGTATTTGGCACGTTTAAATATTTCAATAGTCCTGTTTTTACATCTGAAGAGTAAATAAATATGGGGCAAAAATAAACTTTACTTTAAAAAAATGATGCTAAAGCAAACATAAAGGTATTGCATTTTTATGTTGGTCTTAAAACAAGCCCAAGGCATTCTCCCACACTTTTTTTTCCCCAACATTATCTCCACCTGTAATAATAAAACATGTCTTCTGATTACTGTGCTTTCCATTATCTCATGTCTGTACCTAATTTATTTGTTACCCAGCCTTACTTTTCCTGTGCTAAAGGGTTCTTTCTCTTTTGGTAATGTAGTATCAGGTTGTGAGAGATGGACATGCCCCAAGCCCCCCAAAATTTTCTTGTCTTGCTGAAAAGAAATGTTTAATTTCTAAAATATTTCCAAGCAGGATGTGTCCCAAACTAGAAAATGAGACTACATTTAAATGATGCTGTTTTAAATTCCTATAAAGAGTAAAAAAAAAATTACTACTTTAGAAACATAAAATTGCAAACACCCAAGTAATCAAGGAGTTTTAATGCCCTGCAAAATATAATACCCTTACAATTATTTATTAAATATTAATATATTTAGAATGCAAATGTGGTCGTATTTTTAATATGTGTGTTCTCAAAGTTATTGGGAGTGTTTATGCTCCAACAGTTAAACTAATAGACAGATGTTTAAAAAAATCAGAATATTTGATCACACATTTAAACCTATTGATTAAATAAGGAGAAACTTTCCACAATCCCTTTGCCAGGTATGAAAAATGCATAAATCCATTTTTTATGCTTTGTCGCTTTTTTACATGTTTGTATTCATTACATAGATTAAAAGTACACTGTCATACCTAGGTTCAGTATGGGTTTTTGGTAAAAAATCTCTGCAGGTCTTGTTTTAAGACTTTGGTGGTGTTGCAGCCAGATGAAATACTCATCCCTTGATGTCCATGTCAAAGGGAGCCTTTCCATTGTTTTCCATGGATATTGAAAGAGGCCCTTATTATTCTTCCAAGGCACAGTGTGCTTTGCTGTGATCCCAAACCCATGTGAATATCAGGACAGAGGAGATTGTGTGTGAGAGTGAGTGATTTATGCTCTGCTTGTTTCTGTTGTCCACAGAACATGGGCTTGCTACAAGATGAACTCTGATTTCAGGAAATTACCCACATTGTCAGCAAATTTGCTTGTCCTTCTTTAACATTATGAACAGCCCATTTTTCATGTTTTAGAAATATTTTAATGCTGGACTTTGATATATTATTACCACATGGTCATATCACAATAAACTTTCCACTGCACACAGACAGGCTTGAGGATTCCTAAAAAAAAAAAAAAAAAAATAGTATCAAAGGAGCAATACCCTTGGGTCCCTGCAGAGATCCAAAGGAAAAGCTCTCCCTAGAGCTGGGTCAGTTTTACTTTTCCCATAGATAATCACAGTGCACAGGAGTCAGAGGTTCAGTCTCAAATTAACCCTCAGAATAAGGAATTTTGGGAAAAGTGGCATACAGGACGGGTAGAAAGAAAGTTTGAAAGGAAAAAGTGCTAATCTGCATAAAAATGGTAAAACAAAAAATACCATCAAAAGGTCAAAATTGGTGACATGACTTCATCTAATAACAACAAAATTGGTATGAAGGGGAATTTTGTGTATGGGAAAGGTATGTAAATCCCTAATTTCTGCATGAAACACACTATGCTATGTTTTGTGGGATATTTTATTACCTGATGGGAAATGATGAACCTGTCCTGGAGCAGGCAGAAGGGGTTTATAGTCTCCCTTCTCAAGAGGAACGTGAATTTACCTTTCCTAAAAATCTTATTTTAGCAGACAGAAGTAGAGGAAGAACTGATTAAGATTCCCCAAGAGTGGAAGAGTCAGTCCCAAGCCAAGTCTGAAGGCCAGGTGTGTAATTTGGGAAACACAATTTGTATCTGGATTTTTTTCCTCTCAAATTCCCTATAAATAAAATAACAGAGATTCCCTGAGCTGATTTGTATCTACACTAAGGGCAGGGTCGAGTTTAGAGCTGAGATAGCTGAGAAAATGGTTTTGTTTTCCATTATTAGCTACAGGAAAGGCCAGAAGGTCCATTTGAACTTGAGTCTCTATCCCATCAAAGTATCAGCCTGAGGACCTAAAAGCAAACAAACAAAATTTTTAAAAAGGCCATTATTTTTTATCAAGCTTGAAATTTTTTCTTTGAGGCTGGTCAGGTGCTGGAAAAGGGGTCCAGTGGGAATTTTAGGAAAGATTATCCTTGGAGGTGTTCCAAACCCAGCTGAAGAGGCCCTGGGCAACATTCTCTAGCTCTCAGACTGATCTTTTTCTGAGTGGATTTTGGGTCTAGATGTGCCACCCAAGAAAATTTACCCTGTGATTCCCTGACTAAATGAACCAGGCCAAACCCAGGCATACAGAGGTGAAGTTTGTCTTGGTCTTCCACAGCATTTATTGACTTCAAGTATGTATTTGGGAAGGAAAGTAGGCCTCAAATTAATTTTCCCTTGCAACTTGATATTTTCTATCTATGAGACACAAATATTCCTCATCTGTTTTTGGTAAGAGACAGGTTTGACAATTTAAAATTGTTTTGGTAGAAGCATTTTAGTATTAAATATTATATAGTTATAAAGTGAAATATTAAAGTATCAGAGCACTTTCTGTTTGGGCTCTTTAAGAAACACTCTGAAATATTGAAGAGTAGTAGAGAACCTGTGAGTCAAAAGAAATCAATGCAATATGCTGAAATAATGAAAATATCACTGAAATCAGAGAGGATCTCAGTATCTCCCATAGCCTGCAGTCTGGAAATTTGTGAATTCCAGCACTGGCAATGCCTCCCCACAGCATCCAGCCTTTCCCATTTGGAATTCTGCATTTCCTTCAGTGAAAGATATTTCTTTCTTTGGAGCTCTGCATCTTTTTCTTCAGACTAGTTTCAAACGTCACCAAATTCGCTGCCCTGGGTTCAGTATCCAAGCAGGCAGAAAGAATCTCTTTTCTAATTTTGTAAAAGATGGATTCTTAATCCCTTGACTTTAAGTGATGAGGTTAAAGAAGTAGCTCAGATTTTTTTGATGAAGTGAAGGATAAAGGGACCTTTCTTTTTATATTCCTCTAATTCTTTATAAAAGTGTGAGCTTCCACTTCCACACTTAAAATTGCTCCTGGAAACTAATTTCAAGGTTTATACTTACATGAAAAACCTGTACCTAGAATTATTTTTACCTCTTTCTTTCTCCCTAACTTCCCACATCTTGATTTTCCATTCAGGAAAACTGAGGGATAATTTCGGCCATTACTATTTTCTTATAATGTTAAAACTTCATCCACCACATCTTACATCTCATGTGTAACAGGGATAAACTGAAATGAGCTCATTGCATTAATAATTTTGGTCCTGATTTGCATATACTCCTTTTTATTTGTTGATACGAAGCAAGTTTACTTTATAATGACCAAACAGTCTCACCTTTCCCTGTGTACATTATGAGATAGAATATTTGTTTTGGAACCTGTGACAGATAAATCTGTAAGGAATTCAAGGCTGAATGACATTACTGCCATAGAGCTACAACCTGGGTGAGGTCACCATACAGCAAGTGAGCAGAAAAATAGATATTTAAAGTCACCCAACCAGAACAGATGACTTAATGTCATTTCCATTTGCAAATGGACGTTGCATCAAAATAATAGCTCATAAAATCATGGAATCATGGAATGGTTTGGGTTGGAAGGGGCCTTAAAGCTCATCCCATTCCACCCCTTGCCATGGGCAGGGACACCTCCCACTGTCCCAGGCTGCTCCAAGCCCCATCCAACCTGGCCTGGGACACTGCCAGGGATCCAGGGACAACCACAGCTGCTCTGGGAACCTGTGCCAGGGCCTGCCCACCCTCACAGGGAGAAATTCCTTCCCAATATCCCATCTAACCCTGCTCTCTGTCAATGTGAAGCCATTCTTCCTTCCTGTCATTCCATGCCCTTGGACAAAGTCCCTCTCCAACTCTTCTGGAGTCTCTTAAGGTACTATTTCTTGTGGTGTTCTGGTTATTTTTTCTCCACCTTGTAAATTGAATTTGTTTTGATTTCTTTGCTCCTCTGTTCTGTTTCTTGTTAGCAAAACTGAAGTAAAATAAGGTTTCGTGTGCAGCTGGAAAAAAACTCTGTTGAGTTTGGTTGTCAAACAAGGGAAGGTTCAAGAGTTTTGAGCCTGTTGTTTTATTTTAATCACTCAAAGTCCAGAAGTCCAACAAGTACAATTTGTACCTGGCAAAAATGGGATTATTATTGTCTTATTTTCTCCCTGGGAGCAATCCTGCTGCTTTCTGCAAGCAAGGGTGACTTAGGCAGAGGTTTTAGACCCTCTTCTTAATAATTCCCTCCTTGAACCTTTATTGCAGGTTTGGTAATTTACCTTTATCTGCACTTAGCTGCATTTGCCATCTACCCACTACTTAAAAGATCTAAATCTGCCTGTGGATTCCAGAGTTGTTGATCCTGCTGGATGGATTAACCAGTTAAAAGAGTGGTTTTGGCCATGCAGGTTGATGGATTGGATCCATTTCCCCAGCATCAGGAACACCACCCATTGACAGCAGGGCTCATCAACAAGTACAGTCAGGAAACGACCAGGAATGTCAAATATTTATCCCTTTTAAAAAATTTAATATGTTCTCCTGGGGCCTGATTACAGAATTTTTTAATGCTTACAAATTTCTTCAGTGCAACAGTACTAGTTTGTTTCCAAGGAAACAAATGTACTTATACTGCACTGCACACATTCTTAATCATTAAATTCTATAATCTCCCTGCCTCGTTCTTTCTTCTCCTCTCTCTCTCCCTCTCTCTTTGAATGGGTAACTTCTAAAAATTGTTTGCCTTTTTTTTTTTTGAGTGGAGTCCCCAGATACTCTTTAACTGCAGGTAAATTTTCAAATATGTTCTCAACAAAGCATTGTTTTACATTACTGAAAAAAACCCCAAACCCCTTAATTGTTGAGAGCTTTTATGAAATCATCTTAATCAAGATAAATATGTATCCTTTATTCTTCTGCTATTTAATGTGCAAATTTATTTTTCTGAAGCGGATCTTCAGTGTGGTTTGATGTGAAATGTCTGGGTACGAGTGATATTTAAAAATCAATCTTGAATGTATATTTTTTTAATTCAGGCTCTGCAGACTATGTATGTTTATGCAACACTGTTTCTGTAAAGGGAAAAAAGTATGTGAGCTTATATGGTACTTTACAGATATACAATTTATATATAAGATACCAGCTTTGAATTTGTCATTCAGAATATACTAAATATTAACTGAGGACTAATAGGAGCTCACTGGAGGAACGACACATTTTTAAAGTGACATCTTAGCATTCAAACCATTCATATTCTTCAATGTGAATGTAATTTTTATCTAAATGATTTCAGAGGAAAATTGATTCATTTGACTATAGTGCTCCTAAGACCAGTGGGAAGCTCATCATCTTAATATTGAATCTGTAAATCCTTTCCACTAGGGATGATTAACAGCTTTGTCAAGTGTTTATTTTACTTTAAGAAGAATATGTAATTTCCTGGCATAACTGAGACAGATTTCACTCCATTTCTTCCTTTGCATGTCACATTCATGCTGTAGGTTAGCATGATCGAGGCTACCTCTATTAGACTTCTATTTTGAGCAGTAAAAGGATAGCCTAATAAGTTTTCATAGTTTAATGAGCAGACATCAGTTTGCCCTGTGATTCATTTATACTTGATAAATAAAAACCCCTCAGCAGTCCTGATAAGAAGTAATAACAGGGAATTACTTCCAGATGGCACTTTTGCTGTGCTGCACGTGTGGTCTGAGCTGCCCATGGGATATAAACCCTGTATTAGAGCAGCCATGTGCTGCTCCCAGGACTGGAAATCCATGGCAGACCCTTCTTGGTGGCAGGACAAGGACAGGCCACCAAGCTGAGATTTAGGTGGACCACCAGCAGCACAAGGACAGAATTTTCCCCTTCCAGATATAACTGAGAATAATTTGTGTTGGTAAAGCTTTACAGGAATTTCTTGATACACCATTTTCTCACTCTTTTTGTTATGGAGTATCTTCTTCAGCATTGAGGTTGTGGCCAAACCTCATCTATTTCCTTGGTTATATTTCCTTGGTTTTATTTCCATCTATTTCCTTTGGGTTGGAGCACACTAAAAACATTTATTTAATGTATTTTTTCCTACATTTAATGTTGATAAATCTTAAAATGTTTTATATTCATCTTAATAAAATAATGTCTATCAAATACCTGAGAACTAACAAAATGCAATAGATTTTTGATTAAAAAGATCTTAGAAAAAGTGGGGTTATATGGAAGGGTTTAGCTGTACAGGGACATTTCCATGGTCAGCTTTGGATGTGAAATCCAGGGCTGGGAGCAAACCAAAGGGAATGGCAAAGAGAACATCCTCGTTGCCTTAGTTGGAATATCTGATCACCTACAGAATCTTCATCACTGCCAGGCAATAAAAGATTATGGAATCATGAACATCCCCTCCCAAACCCCAACACATTATGCTCTCACTCATATCATTTCCCAGGTATAACTTTTTAAGTCACCAAACCCCAACATCATCACCAAATCTGTCAGAATTCCAGAAGTGTTAGGGCAGTGCTCTCAGGTGGAATTCTTGGGGTGTCCTGTGCAGGGCCAAGGGTTGCTCTCGATGATCCATGTGGATCCCTTCCAACTCAGCATGTCCTATGATCCTCTGATCTTTTTGGGGGGATTTAATTTGTGACCTTTCCCCTCTTTGACTGTTCATATGGAATACATGAGGTTTGGCCACAACCTCAGTGCTGAAGAATATACTCTATAACAAAAGGAGTGGGAAAATGGTGTATCAAGGTATTCCTCTGAAGCTTTACCAATCGGAATTATTCTCACTTGTAGCAGGAAGGGGAAAATTCTGTCCTGGTTATCCAGCTAAAACTCAGTTTTTTAGGGGTTGTGGTGAGAAGTGTAAATTAAAAATTTAGCCAGCAATGAGCTCTGCATGGTTTGGACCTTCTTGCGCTGACTGGCCAAGTAACAGATTTCAGGGGAAAAAAAAAATAAAGTTTGCTAAAAGCCTTAGCTTCTCCTCCAATATGAGATTAATTACAGCCAAAGCGATCAGGGAATGCTCCTGCTTTACGAATAAATGTTGTGAGTGTGATTGCCTTCAAAACAGGAGTGACACAAATCTATTCTGCCTCTGAAACGGTGTCATCAAGTATTGTTTTGTTTGGGTGTTTCTGCAGAAAGTGCTCCGTGCTCTTTTCTCTCCAATTTCCTGCTCAAAGTCTAAAATAGAAATTGCAGATTAGAAAATCCTTTGAGAATGGGGTTCAGCAAGTGAAACTGCTTGAAGGTAAGTTTCATACTAGTTTGACTGAATTTAATGAGCCATTGTTAGGAACCAAGCAAGCAAGTATTCTAGTGAGGCAGGAGGTATACACAAGCTGTCTTTTCAAGAAACCATTGTAAATCTGGTAACAAAGAGAGCCTGACTTCCTCCTTGAATTACCATGTTGACAAAAAAGTCTACTGCATGCACTGATAGCAAATGAGATACATTCTGCTGGTAAAGAAAATTAGACCTTAAATTTAACTCTGTAAAGCCTAACGTCTAGGGCAAGGCAAAAGGCAGAGTCATGCTGAAAAGCAAGCTGTTGCTTCAGCACAGGCTGTGTGCAACTCCTTGTTCTGAGACAGAACATTTTGTGCAACTTTGCTCTATGATTAACAAATGTATTTTAACAGAGACTAAAAAGCATGGGGAGAGTGAAAAAAAAAAAAAAAAAACCGCGTAGCAAGCTGTGTCTTTAACCAGTAGGGATTAAACAATTCACTTTGTTACCTGGGAGGCATCAAGGTGAAGGTCTCTGGTTCTGAGGGGCTGAGCTCACTCAGTGCTTGCTAACCTTGGGCTGGCTGCTTGGAACGTGTGTCTTTGCTGTAGCCTGAAAAGGGTTTTTTAATATTTAAAGTTATTAGTTTATAGTATCCATGTAATTTCTTCAGCCAAAGGGCTTTAATTTCTTTGATGTGCATCTCTGTTCCAGCTGGTACTCCTACCACTCCTGCTGTCTCTTAGCCCTAAGTAAGGTTTCTCTCTTTGTTAAAGCTGGTGCCACTGATTTATCTTCAGCTCTGAGAAGGGCTTTTATCCATTTTAAAAGTGATGCTGCTGAGACAGCTTTCCCTTGCCCTGAGAAGATGATTTTTTTTTATTCATATTTGGTGGTTGGTTGGTAGGTTTCCCCCCTGCCTCTTTTTTTCTTTCCTTTAAAAAGTATTTTTACATAGAGGTGTATTTCTGTCAGGTTGCCTATGGGGTCCTTCTATGCTGCGTTTCTTCCCAGAAAAAATCTTTATGGGGAAAAAAGCAAATTTCCCCTCTTTTTGGGAGCTCTCCCCACCCCACTGGGGGCTACACACAATATTGCCCTAAAGAGAGTCTTGGTTATGGCATGGAAGACAAGAAGTTTTCCTCATTCAGGGTCCTTTATCAGGGGAAATCATCCTAGACTTTCCCCCTTAAACTATTCAAACTATTTTTCCTCCCTACATGTGCTGGAGTCAATAATGTCCTTGTGAATCAGGCTCATAATTTGTTATTTAAAGTAAATACATTGAGTTTATACACTTGTGGCTTCCTGGACTGGGCTTCCTAGGTTGTTTTCCCATTTTATTGGTTGTCAATTCCTCTGTACCCTGTAGTGTAGAATTTATTTATTATTTTAAATATATATATTTAAAATGAAAGCTATTTAAATTGTCTTTATACAGATAACTAAAGACAGCTTTTGAAGTCATGTGGTCTTCTATGGTTACTTGGGTTCAAGCACACCAAAAATATTTATTTAATGTATTTTTTTGTCTACCTTTAGGGTAGCCAAATATTAAAATGTTTTATATTCATCGTAATAAAGAAAGAAAATCTATGAAATACCTAAAAACTAATAAAATGCAATAGATTTAGATTAAAAGATCTTATAAAAAGATTGCAGATCACTCTAAAAGCCAAAACCAGACTCTGAATATGGGAGTGCTGGCCAGGAGACTTCAGAGACTGTGCACTAAAGAAAAGAGTATTTTTTTCACAGGATCCTGAGATACCTTCAGCCATTGACAATCTCCTTTGTGGAAAAAAAATAATACTGTTAAAAGTTGCAAGTCATTCCATCAAAGACAAAATTATCTTGTAACTTGGTATATCCAAAGGCTCTGTATGCTGAGAAAGAGTTTCAGCCTTTTAACAGTTTTCTCTTTTGGAGTCAGTCAGAATTATGAACGATCTGGGATATCTTACATTGCCTGCAGATGAGACAAAATGCTATTATGGAGGCCAGCAAATAAAACTTTACACTAATCAAATGCTCTGCTGAATAAAATATGAGCATGTTATTTTGCATAATAAATAGCAAGCCAAAATATAAATTGAACAGTAGCACTAATAAATAAATAAGATCATCTAAAGCTGGTTTTCAGGAGCAAAAACTTCAAAGTTCATCCATTATGGATGTGTGTGTGTGTGTGTGTGCACTAGTGTGGATGAGCAGAGGTGAAGTGGTGGCATATATTGTTTTTTTCCCTACCTTTTTTTTTTTTTTTTTTTTGTCTCATTCTCTATTTGGATCATTAATCCAGCAGGAATGAGTAAAGAAACCTTTCTCCCCATAGAAGTTGGAACTGGATGATTTTTAAGTTCCCTTCCAACACACGATCTGCATTTCTTTTCTTGCCTTGCAAAGCCAAAACCTTGCAGTCGGTTTCTGCCTTCTGGAAACAAAACAGATCCTTTTTGCACTGAGAAAACCAGTTAAAATATTTCATTTTTGGTGGCTAGGAGTTTCTGTGTGCAGGCAGGTGAAGGAAGGAACTGTCTCTGCCCCTTGGGGAAGTTTTCTCCCCGTCAGGAAAGACAAGAAAAGGGGAAATATTTTACTTTTCATATGTGCTG